CAGTCCAGTTGCCTTTTGAAAAAAGCACCTTTGAAGCAACTATGACCTGGATGACTGAGAATCTCCACAGACATCCTTTCCTAGAGTTAGTTGCTGCAGAAAAGTAGAAGTATCCAGCTTTTATCTGCACTTCTATTGTAGTATGGATTGCAGGCCACACAGATAGCACAAAGTAAAGGGGGGGGCTCTGTTTCGGTTAAGTTACACAGAGTTTATGTGTGGTAAATCATCAGGGTGAAGGTGATCCCATAAATCCAACATCTATTGGTAGTACCTGTGTTTAAATGATCTGTGCTTTAGTTCATTTTGTAACCTATGTGCATTTAATGCTGTATTAATTATCCACAGCTGGATAAAGGTGTGGCTCCATTGGCTGGAACTAACAATGAAACCAGCATTCAAGGTAAGCTTTCTTTTATGTCATAGAATGTTCAGAAACATTAGCTAGAATGTTAGATAAAAGGGTTGACGAGCAAGGAAAAAGAACACAGTGCTTTTAAGTTAAGGGGAAACACTTCTATAAACACTAAAAACAAAAACAAATTAACATTGGGAGGAATGGAACCCTGGATTGTGTTTTAGTCCTGAACACTCAAGAAATGAGAAATCCAAAAAACAGAATTTATGTTCAGATAGGAACACAATTATATGCTTAAAGTAGCAAAAGTAATTATTTTCACGTGCCCCAGGCGCAGTGCTTACAAAGATTTGTGTGGGGAAAAAAGGGAATTCTTGTCTAAAGCTTCCTAAAAACTACAAAACAATTCAACTTTTCTATCTGGCATTCCAAGCTTTTAGAAGACAGTGGTACTGTTTACGTGGCATTCTTATCCATAGTTAACTCTACCAAAAAACTTTCAGTGAGACCAATATACAGTATTGGATTTTCATGACAAACGGAACCATAAACTAACCTCACGGACTGGTTTTCTCACATTGGAAAAACCCAACTGCTAAAAGACTTCTGCGTTTGCCTTCAGGTCTGGATGGGCTTGCTGAGCGCTGTGCCCAGTATAAGAAAGATGGAGCAGATTTTGGCAAGTGGCGTGCAGTGCTGAAAATTACAGATGCAACTCCTTCTACTCTTGCCATCCAGGAGAATGCTAACACATTGGCACGCTATGCTAGTATCTGCCAGCAGGTATAGTAAGATCTCCACAAATATTTGGGTGTTTGGAATAGTTTGTCCAGGGGCTTGATAATGAGTATTATTAGTTTTTTGCTGGCTAAGCTCAGGTACAGCCCATCTGGATTTCAATTAAATCTTCTCTCTGTTTAAATACCAGCATGGCTTAGTTCCTATTGTGGAACCTGAAATCCTACCTGATGGAGACCATGACCTCCAGCGATGTCAGTATGTGACTGAAAAGGTAAGGGATTGTTATTATTATAAAGAGTCTGACTCACTTTTCAGTCTAAAATTAAATTCCCCTGGATACAGTGGCCTCATCCCCTAGTTATCAGAGTTCGCTCTCTTAAAATGTATTTCTAATTTTCAAGATCTTCAAGTCCAAACTGTTTTGTCTCTCTCATAATATTCACTTCACTGCTAAGTTGTATCGTAAAAAAAAAAAAAGGAAAACCATCTAAGATATATTGGGTACAAATAGTGGTTTTTGCAGACTTTTAATTTTATTAGAAAAAAATACATATCACACATATATGCCAGTTTTGAAATCTTGGGCTAATGCTTTTTGAAATGAAATAGATAAAGATGAACATTTGTTTTCTCCATTTGACAACTTTTAAGACTTGTGGACTTCAACTCCCAGAATTCCTCAACCAGACATGCTGAGGTGGGGAATTCTGGGAGTTGAAGTCCACAAGTTATAAAAGGGCCAAGTTTGAGAACTTCCGGTATAAGCAAAGTGTAATCAGTGACAATATGTTGCATTCCTATCATTTGAAGTGTTAATGAATGGTAGAGACTGTAGTCCAATACAGGAGGAAAGTACCAGACTCAGAGAGGACAGCAATCTTGAATAACCATGGAGATATTAAAGGAAGCTTCTTCGGCAAGGCTGTTGTTGAACCATCTTGTTTGAGCATAAATGCACACTTATCTAAGAGTTAGCACAATAAAAGAAGTGGGGCTGTGTAAGCATGTTATAAACATTTCTACCACCACTTTTCTTTGTATCCCAGGTGCTGGCTGCTGTTTATAAGGCCTTGAATGACCACCATGTTTATTTGGAAGGAACACTTCTAAAGCCCAACATGGTGACAGCTGGACAGGGTTGTCCCAAGAAATATACCCCACAAGATGTGGCCATGGCAACAGTTACAGCTCTCCTTCGGACAGTCCCAGCAGCTGTTCCAGGTACTTCTTCAGACCCTGTTATTTGAGTAACAGAAGTCTCCTCGGTCATGATTTCATTTCAGGTTTTCCTATCTAATTAAGGGTGCTTTAAAGCTAATTTGAGTATCCTGAATCAATATTTCTTAGTTTTTTAAGGCAAAATCTGTGGTGTTTTTATGTGAACATTCAGTCCATGGTAAGAATTGATTTTAGGCACACAAAACCTTTTTGCATTCACACTTGCAAGTTGTGTGCCTATCTTCAGCCTGCTCAGTCTGTATGGTGGAAGTCTTCTAGGTCTTCACACCTTGGTTTCATCTCATGTTTTCAGGGAGTGACTAGGTAGCTCCTGCTGTCACTCCCATCTTCCATGGCAGCTCACTGGAGTTCACTCCCTTCCTTAGGTATGTGAGATAGTCCAGTTTCATTTTAAATTAATTTTTAAAGCACTTAAATGGCTTAGGATCAGATTATTTGAAAGACTCCCTACAAAATGTGGCCTAAAGACCCATCTTAGGTCCATGTTTATTACATCTTTATTACATCTTCTCAGTAGAAGGGTTCCTGTCTTCCTTTGTAATTACTTTTTGAATAAGCCTGAACATTTCAGTCCACGTTTAAATGTTTGTAAGATGCAGCTCCAAATGTAGCCTCTGTTGAAATGGAATGTTTACAATATTGTGTAGTTTGAATTAGTGGTCTTTTTATTCTTTTAATTTTTTTTTAATTCTTTAAATTCTTGATTTCTTATCCCAGTCATCATATAGAACATCACAATTAATCCAGCACAGTTACTTTAGCATTTAGGAATTTGAGCCATCAGTATCTTGTAACCTTGCAGGAATCTGCTTCCTTTCTGGGGGCCAAAGTGAAGAGGAGGCATCCATTAACCTCAATGCTATCAATCTGTGCCCACTGCCCAAACCCTGGAAGCTGACTTTCTCATATGGGCGAGCTCTACAAGCATCAGCTCTGGCTGCTTGGTCTGGCAAGCCTGCAAATAAGAAGGCTGCCCAAGAGGCCTTCATGAAACGGGCAAAGGTAAGGTAGTATCCTTAAAAAAAATCAGAATCTCAAAGGTACCAAAATTAAAGGAAGAACAACATAATCAGTATTAAGTTTCCAATTGAAATATTATTGCTTTCAGGCAAGCCATTTCTAGCATTGTTTCCCTAACAGAACAGGGATGGGTGCATCTTCCCTCAAATTTCTTTCTTTCTTTCTTTCTTTCTTTCTTTCTTTCTTTCTTTCTTTCTTTCTTTCTTTCTTTCTTTCTTTCTTTTTTAAAGGATTCAGCTACCTGGTAATGTCACCATACCATTGGATGCACCCTTTGGAAGGCACAATTATAAAATGTGCCCATAATTATAATTGTTTGTAAAGTGTTCCCCAAGGGCAAAAAAGGTCATCTTTCCTGGTTTATTGTGTAAAAATCTAAATGTGTTGTTAAGTGAGTAAACCCAAGCTAAATAAGGTAAACCTGAGGTAAACCAAGCTGAAGGTGATTTGGAACCTCACCATGCAAATTTTGGAAACAAGTCATAATAGTTGCACTATAAAAGGAATACTTTGGTAGTGGTTAAGAGGCTGGCACAGAAGCCAGGAGACAGTCAGTTCTAGTCCCACCTTAGGTATAAAACCCACCTGGCTGACTTTGAGCTAGTGACACTCTCTCAGCCCAACCCACCTCACAGGGTTGATGTGGGGAAATCAGGAGAGAGAAGTATTAGGTACGTTCACTGCCTTGAGATGTATATAAAGAAATTGAGAAGAAGGAGAAGACTTCTATGAAAGCATCATTAGAGTGACATTGACACAGATGTGAAGATTTTCTCCCATTGTCTGGTGGTATATTTCCTTCACAATTCATCATGATTGACTCTATAGCTAACGCATTTGTGCTCTTATCTACAAATGATTATTACAATAACATAATAAAATATTTCAAATGTAATGCTATTTTTCATATTTCATATGATATGAAATTACATTGTTTATATAATTACATATTATATCATAGTTGGTATAAATACAGCCTACGAACAGGTGTATTTTTCCACCAGCCAAATTGACAGCTGAACTTCTTTTAGATATTATTCAGTATAGTTAAATACAGTGCTGTAGCAAAGGCATGAGGAATAAAACCATGCTTAGAAACATATGTTTGAAGGGTGCTCTCTGAGCTTGCTTGTTTTCTTGCAGATGTTTCATTACCTAACTAGGTAACGTCAGTGCTAGTAAGGAGTGTAGTTTGCTGTCAGTTTATATTCTGGTGTCTTGCCTGTCTGTGTGGGTGTGGGTGTGGGTGTGGGTGGTCTTAGGGGTTCTTTGGTTGGGCTGTTTATTAATGGCTCTGTGGCAGTTTCTTGATTGGGGTATTGCTTACTTGATTGTTGGTCTGAAGTTGACCCTCGAGTTTATTTATGCTGGTCTGAGTGCTGATTACTAGTAGAGAGGTGCATACGTTTTGCTTAGATTAACTGATTTTTCTCCATTCTTTGTTTTGTTAACACTAACCACCTGTATCTTTCCTTTTTCTCTTTCAGATTAATGGTTTAGCTTGCAAAGGCCAGTATGTTACATCTGAAAAGAGCAGTGGAGCAGCCACCCAATCACTGTTTAGTCCCAGTTACACATACTAGTGTTAACAACCATACAACCAACCTCAGAGAGCACCAAGGACTCCTCATTTCAACCCTGAGCTAAATATTCTTCTTTATTGACACACTAGTTCATAAAGCATTGCACTGGGCAGGTTTTAAGAGTTTAATCATTCATTGGACCTCTGCCTTTTTACAACTCCCTCCTTTTCCTATTATTATCCAAGGGGAGAAATATGAATGCCCATGTGCAGAGAAACACATGAAGAACACCAAGGAAGAGGAAACAGAGTGCCTTTTCCAGTCTATAAACTCTGAGCAAATGTCTTACCACTGTGAAAAGATTAAATGCCTGTGAAACTTTGGCCAAGTCTATATCTGTTATTCATTTCTGGTCCCATTGAATTTTTGCTTTTTCGTGTGGCATTCCAGTGACTATATATATAACAGCTTAACATAATCAGTGTTTCACTAATGTGTTTGAGATTGATTTAAAATGGGGTCTTTCAAGATACCAATAGGTTGTTCAAATCCCAGGGGAAACCTCATTCCAAAAAGCTGCTACAAAGAAAATGCACTTCTGGGCTCCCAATAGGTGACACTGTTTAATTGATGGAATTGGAGCATGCCAAATCTGCCAGACTGAACCAGCTGAGCAGATTCTGCTATGGCAGGCATAGCTGGTTTATGGAATGGGGAGCCCAACACACATCAGGTTTGAAAGTCTCCCTGAAGACCCTTTCAGATGGGTTCCTGGAG